ATTTTGTATTTAACTCAAATCATTATGTATTTAACTTGAATTTTGCTACAATAGGCTCCATTCTTAACTATGGGTCATCTGTAAACCAGGCGTTTTTAACCCAAGGACTACCTGTATAGCCAGAAGCAATCACTTACACCAAAAAGAGTCATACTTTCAGGTGAACCAATGTAGAGGTAACCAACTGCCAAGCAGCCAGTTGTAGCACATCATAACCTTATATATAATAGGATATTCGCTAATAGCATCTGCATAGCCTGGCTTAATAGTTTTAAAATAAATGCCTAGTGTGCAATTTAGAAGAGTTACTTTTTGAATTAATCTTATTGTGCAGTATACTTCAGGAGTTGGACAAAATTCAGTTTTCTTTACTAGGCTAACCAAATGTAGTGAATTGAATAAACATGTTTTTGATCTTCATATCCTGGTTACCATTTTAATGTTTTGATGGAAAGTGTCTCTATGACATATAGTTGCAATCAAGAAAAGTGTGCTGCTTAGTTCTTAGGTCTTCTAGTTGAATAACCTTAATTCAAATACTCATTCTTGCATTCATTATTATGATTGCTCAGCAGGAGAAAAATACCGCATGCCTTTCTAAACATAATACAAATAATGATGTGTATGTAGTTTTAGATACTAATTCAACTTGTCAGGTTAGAGAATTTTTTTGGGGGGGGTAGCTGAGAAAACAGAAAATATTCATTTTAACAAAGATGAAAAGTATCACACATTTTCTTATCCTTATAATTCAAAATTGATGTAACTTGTACAACTCACAGCGACACAGAACTGATAAATTTTAGATACAAAGGCAATTGCTCAGAAAATTATGAACTGAAAATCAGTATTGAAACATGCCATGCTATCTAAATAAAAACAGTGTCATTGATTTATAAATGAAGTTGCATGCTATCCTTGTATGTGACTGATATTTGATATACAACAGAAGCCAGCAATTGCTATTCCTTGGGCTAGAACAGCCAAGCTGCTTGTCATTATCCTTAGTTTAAAAAAATTGTATGGAAGAATATTTCTTGTATTAAGAGTTGCCTGGCTGAATGCTTAGCATGCATGCACAATACTTATTTATTAGAGTGGCCACCTAACCATACCTATCAAGTGATAAGTAATATGATTGAGAAAGTCTGCATATTATTACATGTCTTCTCAGAAATAAGTCCCACTTACAGGTAGTCCTTGCTTAGTAACCATTCATTCAACAACCATTTGAAGTTAATGTAAGCTGAATGTATTTACGACTGGTCCTTGAAGTTAAAGCTATTGCAGTGCCCCCGTGGTCACATGATCAAAATTTGGGTACTTGGCAGCCCACCCGCATTTACAACCACAGGGTGCACTTCAACTCTCCCCCACCTGCCTATCTCCCCCCCCCCGTCTCTATCCTTTTGGCTGCCCTGCATTCCACTGTCCCTGCCACCATGCCCTCTGCCACCCCTCTGCTCTACACCCCTGCTGTCCTGCACTCCATCACCCCTCCCAACTGACCTTCGCCATCTTCTTCCTCCCGCTGCTGACAAAGCAGGAGGAAGAAGAAGACGGTAAAGGCCAGCTGGAGGTGGCAAGGGGAACAGAGTGCAGGGGGTGGGGGTGCAGGGTGGAGGGCAGGGTAGCCAAAAGGGCAGCAATGGGAAGTAGATAGCTGGGTGAGGGGAGTTGAAGCAGGGCCAAGCTAGACGCTTGCCAAATGATGGCACAGTCCTGGCCTAATGACTGCAACTGGGACTACTGGAACTATCACTAAGCAGTGCAGTCATGTGATGTTTTGCCTAACGACTGCTTCGCTTAGTGATGGAAATTCTGGTCCCAGTTAGAGTAATTACGCAATGTATAGAATTGCAGCCTAGTTATGCTGTTGGGAATACTAATAAAATTAAGAATATGTTAATTTTATTTGAGGGGCAAAGGTTTATAGTCAGAGTCCAGTCTTTGTCAAGGTGGAATTAGGCGTCATATGTGGGGCTCTGGAGATTCCAGTTTCTCTCTCTCTCTCTCTCTCTCTCTCTCTCTCTCTCTCTCTCACACACACACACACACACACACACACACACAACACACACAACACAAAATGAGCATGATAGATTATTTAAGGGATATAGCTTTGTCAGTGCAGCCTTCCTGTCTCTATGCTTTTAGGTAACTGGACAGCCAGCTTTTCAGAAAGTAGCTGTGTGCTGAGTATGCCAAGATGGAACTAATTTCTTTTAAGCCATACAGAGTCTCTTTGTATATAAGTATATAAGGATGGTTAGTGAACTAGTTGGACCGTATTTCTGAGCAGAATTTGTATAAAATATTGACATTCATTAGATTAGCAATTCCTAATTTGGTATTAGTCCCAACCAAATTATAGAAGGCTGATCTAGACAAAGATTGGTAAAAGAGCAGGTTTTAAAAAAATAAGTTGTGCTATATAAAATTGATTGTATCAAAACTAATAGAAGGTTTTCAAGTCTGTTCTGTCACATTTTCTGATAGACAAGAAATTGTGTGATCTTATTCATTGCTGCTCTTGTTGATTTGCTCTTCTTTTATAGATGATTTTCCAAAGCCGCAGATAACTGTCCAACCTGAAACTCAGTCAGCAATCAAAGGCTCCAATTTGAGTTTTATATGTTCAGCAGCCAGCAGCAGTGATTCCCCAATGACTTTTGCATGGAAAAAAGATAATGAATTAATACGTGATGCTGAAATGGAGAACTATGCGCATCTTAGGGCACAGGGTGGTGAAGTCATGGAGTATACCACCATCCTTAGGCTGCGCAATGTTGAATTCAGTAATGAAGGAAAATACCAGTGCGTTATATCCAATCACTTTGGCTCATCGTACTCTGTCAAGGCTAAACTTACAGTGAACAGTAAGCATTTCAAATGTACTTACACATTAACAAAAATGTATAATATAGCATTCCTTCTAAAAGAGTTTACTCAGCATATCTGTTTGTTTGTTTGTTTGTTTGTTTGTTTGTTAGCTGGCTGTATGAATACCTAAAAAAATAAATGAGATTTTTGCTGAAGTTTTATTTGAAGAGCTTTAAAACAGTAGATCCTGCTTCTCATTTTTATCACAGTTACATGTATCTGCTAGCCTCCATTTAAATTGCTGTCATCTATAGGCAGAGTACCTACAACTCTCCATATTATAGCTCCCAGTATTCTCAACCATTGGCTATGCTAGCTTGAGCTTCTGTGAGTTACTCAGCAACATATGGAGGGCCATGGGGATTTATTAAGACCAAAACTATATTTCAAAGCTATCTGGAAATAACATTTAATTAGAATATAGCAGCTTAGTTGCTAACTAGGACCAGGGTTTAGGAGCTCCCATTTATTTCTGGGCTGTTCTGCTTCTGCTCTCCTGACACAATTTAAGTGTGGGTGATGACTTAGGCTCTTTATGGCTGAGTATCTGGGTACTCAGATACTAAAAAATTCTGATCTTTATATCTGTTTGACATTTCCTGGAGGACATCACAGGAGGGTCTTTTCATAGGAGCCCTATGAAGAACAACAGGTGGCCACAAGAGGAAGATTCTCAGTGGTGACATCCTCTCAGTAAAATGGTCTCCCTAGGGATGCTACCAGATATATTTGTTTACTTGTTCATTTTTAAAATTTAAACCCGTCTTAGTTTGCTTTTGTTGTTTACTTATCTTCCAGTGTCAGTCTTCTTTAAGGATCTCACAATAAACATTTAAAAAATAAATACATTACTAAAACATCAGTAAATAAATTAATAAAATGTCAGCAAATTTAAAAAGCTAAGAGCCAGATGTAGTGGTTAAGACATCAGGCTGAAAATTGGAAACTCTTAGTTCCAGTCCTACCTTAGCATTAAGCCAGCTGGGTGACTGTGGTCCAGTCATTTCTCTCAGCCCTGGAAAGAAGGCACGGGCAAACCTCTTCCAAAAACATTGCCAAGAAAACTGGGTGGACTGGTTGAGGCAGCTACCAGGAATAAAGACTGACTCAGAGGCACAACTACAAAAGGAAGATACAGATAAATGGCCTGAGAAAACAAGACATTCTATTCTTTTCTATCCTTTTGATAATATCCTGATACTTTTGATAATATCCTGAGTTATGTTTAAGATACCCTAGGAACTTTATTTAAAGATTATACTTGTGCAATCAGTTTTGAAATGTGAATATTTTATATACAGTACAGGTAGTCCTCATTTAACAACCACAATAGGAACTGGCAAATTTGTCATTAAGCAAGGGTGGTCATTAAGTGAGGCATCATGTGACCACACCCGATTTTACGATACTTTTTGCAGCAATCATTAAGTGAAGCACCACAGACATTAAGTGAATCACACAATTTCCCATTGATTTTGCTTGCCGGAAGCTGGCTGGGAAGGTTGCAAATGGAAATCACGTGACCCTGGGACACCACAATCATAATAAGTGCAAGCTGGTTGCCAAGCACCCAGATCATGATCACGTGACTGCGGGGGCACTACAATAGTCATAACTGCGAGAACCAGTCATAAGTTACTTTTTCAGCACCATTGTAACTTTGAGCAGTCACTTATCGAAAGATTGTTGAGTGATGACTACCTGTATATAAAAAGTAATACTATTTAATAGTGCTACTTTGTTTTCCTAATAGTAATGTCTTCCTGTTCCTAATATCTCAGAACTTTGCAAACTTTATCTGTAATTCAGTTGTTAAATTATTCCCTTATAAATCTGTTTCCCAAATACATGTTATGGAGCACTCTCCTGCAGGTATTCATGTGTAAGGCACAAATGTCTGAAAGATATATCATATTGTATGTTTAGTTTGAGCCTAACCACAATTTGCTCCAGAACATGGATACACAGGGCTCCAGATCTCATCTACCTACAAGTTGAAACTTTTTTCTCGCTACATATGGAATGTATGAAAAACTCTCCTCACTCCTAATGTGCATTTTCAGAAATATCTGTATTGCATTCATTCAGCAGATAAATGAGTAAAGAAACCATTTTTCCTGCCATCTCTGCTTTTTGTTTATTTTAACCCCTTTTATGTTTTAAAATATTAAATTTATAATTTCGAAGCGCTATAATGCTTCTGATGAAGTGCCATATGCAGTTTAAAACATTGAAATGGTGAGGAAGATAACAATAAGATACTGAATACTATACAAAGCAGTGAACAAGAGTAATCTCTTAGTCTGAAAACAAACTTTTCCTGTCTTTTATATAGTGCTTCCATCGTTTACCAAGATGCCCATGGATCTCACAATTCGCGCAGGGGCAACAGCACGGCTAGAGTGTGCTGCTGTTGGTCACCCCGTGCCTCAGATTGCTTGGCAGAAAGATGGGGGCACTGACTTCCCTGCAGCACGCAAGAGACGCATGCACGTGATGCCCGAGGATGACGTGTTTTTTATTGTGGATGTCAAAATTGAGGACACAGGCATTTACAGCTGCACAGCTCAGAATACTGCAGGCAGTATTTCTGCAAATGCAACATTAACAGTATTAGGTAAGGATAGCCTGTCCCTCTCAACTTGACACTGGTCATTTGGTAGCTCATCGTTTTGTTTTTGACAGTAATAAATACGGCTTGATGTGCGTAGTGTTCTTTTATTAGACTCAACCTATTGTTTTTAGTCTGCTGACTACGTTTGCACATAATTTTATGGCTGAGATTCTAGCCTGAGAACTTTGCTGAAAGTTACTCCAGCTTTTTTTCTGCATTTCAGAAACACCCTCATTTTTGAGGCCCTTGTTGGATCGAACTGTGATGAAAGGTGAAACGGCAGTCTTGCAGTGTATTGCTGGTGGCAGCCCGTCTCCTCGGCTGAATTGGACCAAAGATGATGGCACTTTAGCAGTGACAGAGAGGCATTTCTTTGCTGCAGGAAATCAGTTGCTTATCATTGTGGATACAGACTTTGAAGATGCTGGGAAATACACATGTGAAATGTCTAACACACTTGGAACCGAGAGAGGCAACGTTCGCCTGAGTGTGATTCCCACTCCTACCTGTGATTCTCCTCAGAATGCTGCCCTGTCCCTAGATGATGATGGATGGGCCACTGTGGGTGTGGTGATCATAGCTGTGGTGTGCTGTGTGGTTGGCACTTCCCTTGTGTGGGTGGTCATCATATACCACACAAGGAGGAGAAATGAAGATTGCAGTATCACAAACACAGGTGGGTAAACTGAAACTTGGAAGAGAGCTCTCAAAGATGTTTGTGGTTACCCTCCTGAAGTTTTCCTTGCAGAATTATTTGTGTCTTTTGACTCAAATTCAGAAACCTAAATAACTTTTGAAAATCATCCTTCTGTAGCTTATGTAAAATACTTCAAATAATTCAGCCACTGATAGTTTTGTGCATGTACATTTGCTTAATCACAGATGAGACAAATTTGCCTGCAGATATTCCAAGCTATCTGTCATCCCAAGGAACTCTAGCTGAAAGACAAGACGGATATGGGTCATCAGAGAATGGAAGCCAGCATCACTTTGTACAGTCATCCCCCATGGGTGGATATTTTTTTCAACAGAGAGAAAGCAATGGTGAGGTTTTAACAGGTCTATACAATTTGCATGTATTCATAAAGAAATCTTGTTGAGATTCAGTGGGATTTATTCCAAGGTAATGTGCTGCAGAATTGCAGCTTAGATTTCTCATTATGCTACCTTGATGCTTAAGATTCCATCACTGTTGTTCTTTGGTTGTTCCCTAACTCCAAATAAATTGGAGAATAACGGTTTTACTGTTTTACTATTTCATCAACTGCTTTGATGATAGATTGTCTCCTGCCTATTATTATCCCAAAGATGTTCTGGTACTATATGTCCAAATGTTTCTAGTTTTACAGCAGTGCTGTTCTGTATATCTTCTTCTTGATATATATGCTTTTTCCAGCTGAGGAACGTTTCCAGGAAATGACTTGAACATTCTTGTTACTCTGCATGTTATTTCATTTTTAGTTTTCACCTAGAGCCATGTTTTTCAACAAAAATCCATAATACTAAAAACACACAGATTGCTGCCAAGTATTTTCAGCTGCAGTACTAGCTAAGGCCTTGCTGTTGACAGAAAAGTTCTGTTTTTTCAGAGTTATGGAAGAAAAACAGCTTATGTTCCAAGATATTCTCTCAAGACTTAACCTAACCCCAAACCTAAGCCTATGTTTTCAGTGATTGGTCCTATGAAACACATTGCAGAACAGGAAGGGACTCTATTTCAGGCTGACAGTTTTGTCTGTCTATGGCTGAAAGTTCCTGTAAAAAAAGGGAGGAGATCCCCCCCCCCATATATGCACACATCTGGAGAAAGAATATTGCAACAATGATCCAGGCAGTGCCTCTAGTCTAGTTTAAGTTTTCCCAATCTTGGTGCACTCAATTATTTAAGGATGTGAGCTAGAATTTTCAACCAGCATAATGTAACTTTAGATTTTGTAAATAGCATGCTCCTTTGCATAATAATGCTTTTTTGCTCCTAATAGGGATTCCTCAGACTTTTTTGATGAGTGCCTTGGAAAGACAGGGGTATTTGCAGAAATCTAATGATTCCCCCCAGCAGAGTCAATTGGATCTCCATCTAAAGAGTGTTTAATTTGTGGTCAGCAAATATAAATGAATGGAGAGAGTGTCTTACTAAAAATTTGGAAGCCACTAAGGCTGTGACTGTTTAAAAAATCTGTAACTTAGCATACTCAATTATTGCTTTGCAGTCAGTTAGGTTTCTTATACATAGATGTTTTGGTTTGAAAAAATAAACCTAGAATCAAAGGAAGCTGATATGTATTGTCTCCTTTTTAAAGGAATTTGTCATACAGATAACTGCAGTGAAAATGACCTGGAAGCTGTAACAGATCCATTTTTATGCCATTATCTGGGTACTTCAGGAAGTCTATATTTAAAAGGAAATATATGTGGCCCAGATATGTTTGAAGTATACCATACAGGTAATTTACATTATATAAATGTTTTAATTATTTTCCCCCTCTTTCCCCCCGCATTTTAAGGGTCTTTGTTCATTGAAATTATAAACAGTTTTGTCCCCTGTTGGTTTCTTTAAGGCAGCAATTTGGAGCAAAGAACAGCGTGCATGGACCTTTATGATTCAAGCTGCTTGAAGAAAAAAGACTGCTACCCATATAGCCACTCCCCTGAAGATCCCTTTGACCGATACCTCAGTATCTCCAAGATACATATGCCAAGTAATAAATCGATTCCTTCTGTTTATACTTCAAATGAAGAGAATGGAACAAGAAGCTCAGATGTAGACACATTTAAGAGAAATCAAGAACTGTCTTCTGTTACACCAAGCACCACTTTCATGGGTATGTTTTAATGGCTTTCTAATCCAGAAATCCTAAAAACATATACTGGGGAGGAAGCCATGTTGAAATGAAGTAAGCAGAACTGCTTTTTGAAAAATTGTTCTCTTCCATACCCAAGTGGATGGGATATTCCATTAAAAGTTTTCTTTAGAGATTTATTCAGAGTGTGTTAATTAAACAAGGGGTGAGAAGCGTATGACCACTAAGATATTTTCAGCATGTGTCCGTATTGGGGTAGCTGGAAGCTATGCCTTATTACATTTGAATATAAGGAATAAAGGTATAAGGCAATGAAGTTGAAAAATGAGAACTTAATTACTGTATTCGTTGAGAAAGTACCTTTTTCCTAATAGCTGCTAGCTAACAAAACACAGGCATGTGAAGTTCAGTGTAAAGAATCTCACTCATCAAGTGTCTATATTATTTGCTCTTTCTTGAAAGAGCTCAGACAGTATTTAGTCTTAATACCTTCCAGTGTTATCCCTGTAATAATCCTTAGAGGTAGATTAGGCTGAGAAATAATGGTCATTCAGTGAGCCTTAGCGGTCTTCTGTCAAGTTTCAAAGGCCATTTACTAAGCTTCATGACTGCATAAAAATGTGAACTCAGGTCTCTCTTAACTATCACACAACATACATACACACAGTCTTGAAAGACAAACAGGAAATCAGCATTCTGCTTTCTCTGTCCCAAATAGTTGAATATGTGAACATAAGTCTGAACCAGAGTAATTGGCTAATTAGAAAAAGTGTAATTACTAAATTTATGTTATTAACATAGACCATTTCATTGGTTTATGTTATTTTGTGGATCATTTATTTTGCTTATCCATTTTTGTAATAGCTAATAAATGTTTTCTCTGTCTCTTTAGGAACATTTGGAAAACCTATATGGAAGCATCAGCTTGATTCTTTGTCAAGCTATAAGCAGTCCTCAGTTTGGCAGCCAAAAGCCTCCCATTATTCTCATGAATCATTGGATTTTGATTCAGAATCTGAAGGTGGTAGTAAAATGGGTAGGACGTTTGCTGAAGTGGACAATAGCAGCTTTATTTGCAGGCAGCCAGCTGAAAACTATAGGACTCCTACTTTTCAATCCTTTGACTTGGATACATAGCTTCCCAGCAGTACTAGCCCAAAATCAACTTACGAACCAAAAAAATATACTACCTCAAAGTGGACATTATTTAAAAAGAAAAGAAACTCCTGGCTGTATTTTAAAAGAGATTTATGATTTTTATACAGATGCAGCTTTATTTGTAAAACGCATTATTTCAGGCAGATTGTACATTCCTTATATTTCTGATAAGTGTATAGTTTTGTTTAACCAAACAGTACCTTTTGTAAATTAATGTTGTGAATAATAACTATGCATTTGTTACTGAGACAGACTTCATTTTATTCAGATGAATGTTTTAAACTAATACCAATTCATGTGCATCTACTTGAGTTTAAGGAGCTGTCCAAAGTTATGGACAGTTAATAGATTCATACCTGACATGGCTTTTTATTACGTTTTGTTGATTTGTGCATTAAAAAGCCCTGGAAAGAAACACATACAGCCAAGATCATATTCAGGGGAATGAGAAAGTTGAAACTTCTCTGCTGGTTTCACCTGAACTGTGGTGCATAACATTGCCCGTGTCAGAAAACTGGATGTTTTGGAGAGATGCAAAAAACACACTTGTAAATGTCCTGTTCCCCATAGACTTAATTATTTTTGCCCTAAGCAAAAATGTGATTATTTTCAGTTCTAGTTAATATGCATGGTCAGTATCAAACCAAATAAATAGCAATCCCAGCTTATAACGTATCCATTCCAGTAATTCAAACTGCATTCCTAGGTTATCTTTGAATAGATGAAAATCCTGGTCACATTTACCTTTGTTCTGGCCCTGGATGTCCTGAGCCTGCATGTCTTTAGGAGTAATGCACTCCTGGTTTTTACAAACCAGTTAAAGACTGCATTCAGTACATCCCAGTATTGACTTTGTAAATTTGATCATTGACAAGAGGTATGAGGGAAACATCCATTTGAGATCTTGGACTATCCAACTATTCACTTGGACTGTTGTGAATAAAAGAAGACTGCTGCATTGGTCTATGTTCCTATGCACCTTTATCCTAAGACTAAGCCCCATTGAATTCAGTTGCACAAATCTGTGAAGACGTGAATGAATTGTGTTACTAGCTGGAAAAATTGTGTTACTAAGCGTAAAGCCACATCTGATGTTAGGGAAGTTGTGCACTCTTCTCAAGAATTGTAATGTGTGATACGGTGGAGAATAGATCTATTTGGCAAGGACAAGTGCTGTAGAAGTTGCTACTGCATTTGGTAGAGATTGTTACTTGGCTTTTTGCTTGCTTTCCATCACACGTATGAATTTAAAATTGGGTGTGGGTGTGTGTTTGCATTTAAAAAACATGACACACAGATCCAGCCCTAAATCATCAAAATGTCAAATGGTGATCAGTGAATGGCTGAATCATCTTAGATCATGGCTGATAAAAGACAACAGGCTGGTGAAGTCTGTAGTTTTAATGCCACCATCCTATTCAACTACCTTGGTAAATAAGAGTAAATATTAAAGAAACCACAGTTTCACTGTTCTTGTACCTTCCAAACCCATGCTTATAATGATGTAACATATCTTAAGTTACTGTGGTACTACTAAGTTTTATGTAGCATGACCTGATCCTGTTAGTGCCAAGGAAAAAACACAAAATTTCAGTAACACTAAATTGTCTTCCTTGTCTTCGTCTTTATCACTGTAGACTATTGTGTCCATGTAATAGTTGCTTCACATAGTACTAGGAAGCTATAATATTTTGGTCCAGCCATTTATCTGAAAACCTGACATCAGAATTAAAAAACTTTGGCTCTGTTATTATTATTTTTTTAAAAGGAAGCCAAAGCCGAGATTTGTTCTTTGTATCAATTTCATTCAGAACATTTCTTGTTACAGAGATTAACATTTCAGAGATTTCATTTTGGTGATCTAGGTTCTTCACACTATGTGATAAACTTCACCATGAAGTATTTCTGCAAAAGGCTGAGCTTATATATGAAATCTTTTTTTATTTTGCATTGATTGAACAAACCTAGATTAATATAAAACAATTCCATTTTTAACTCAGAAATTACTCAGTTCTTACACATTTATTTCAAAATTAAGGTGGAGAAGGCATTGTTTTCCAGCTCTAATTTAAACTAGAACTGTGTCCTGTTTTCCCCTATTTCCCTCCCTTCCTCTCCCACCCCTGAAAAAAAATCTTAATCACCATTTCAAATCAAGGTTTAGGGCTTCTCTCTCTGGTTCAAAATCAAAGTGTAGTACTTTGGGGTAATTAAAGCTAGATTAAAACAGTCCCATCTGTTCCATTGGTGCAGTAGGCTAGGCTCTTGAAAGCTGTGAATCCTCATGTCAGCAATATGCTTGAGACCCATGTGTCTCCCTGTGGGTTAATATTACAAGGCTGCCTCTCCCCCCCGCAACCCATTCACTTTGAAAGTTTAAATTTATATAGTTGTCAAGATTTTTTTCGAAGCAAAATTGAAAACAGCTGTTTAGACAGAACTCTATAAGCCACATTTCAGATGCGGAAGAAAAGTTCCCCCATTTGCACCACCCCATCTAACAATGTCAAAGAAGCCAGGTTTTTCTCCTATCAAGGAACCTGGTATCCAGATTGCAGTATAATTTTCCTCTTTAATTTAGCTTTGGAGACAGGAAGTTAATCTATCTTCAGACACTGGTGGTCTCACTGTACAGAATGGATTTTTCATGCTTTTGTTTATCCAATTGCCAGGTTTTCTGACTCTCCTTGTTAATTTGTCTTCATTGTTGCCAGATGTAGTTATATGGTGGCAGACATTCATATTGGCATTTGGGGATAATTAACAGTGTTTTGAAAGAAATTAATTTTTCCAGGGTTGGAAATAAAGCTCAGAGTCAATAATGCAAGAAAATCTTAAATTAGATTCTTCATTAAATCACCTTGACCTCTGATTCTTCTGAGGTCTGCTAAGTTGGTATCCACACACATCAGACATCATTTTGAAAATACCAGAAAGAAAATGGCAAAATAGGGAATTGTCCACTTCAGAGGGAACATAGCAGATTGGCTATTTTAAATCTGGCCATATTCAGTTTTCAACTTTTAAGCAATATCATTTAGTATAAGTCCCTTTTGCTGTAACCAATACTGTGTCCCCCTATACATCTCCATGTTCTGGATAGGTATTGTCAAAGAAATTCATACTGCAATTACTTATGTACTCCTGTTAATTTCTGTCAGAGCTGTTTCCACAAAATCAAGTATAGGATTGCAGCTTGAATCACCATCATCATCAACATCATCATCATCATCTAGTAAAGATGATTACAGAAATGTTTTATAATGCATGTGTTTACTTCAACTATATTTAGGATATTCCAATATTTTTAGCTAGAATTACACTGATCCAAAATTTACATTTGTGTGCAAGACATTTGAACTTACTTATTTGCAGAATGTCTGAAGTACAATCAAAAGAGTCTCTAGAGTATCTTCAAACTTACCAATAAAAGAGCCACTAACATAATAAATATAAAAAATAAAAAATTATCAGCTGGGCTTTGGATTTCAAAGACCTATTTTTAAAAAAAGTTCAGAGACCTTTTTTTGAAGGTTGGGAATGAGAGGGCCAGCCAGTTCACTGGGGCAGTATGTTCCATAGCTTTGGAGTGGTGTCAAGAAGGCCTGAAAGCTTAAAATGTATTTACTCAAAATTTTGAATGGTAAAAGATGGGTATGTTGTTCTTTTTTCTGAGAACTTATCTTCCAGTGGTAGGAAATTTCAGAAGCATGTAGTCTTCTCTAACCTGTACACTCCAGATGTTGGGTTTAAAATGCCATTCAATAGTTCTGGGAGTTGTAATTGAGCAGAGGAACCATTGCTGCCATAGTTAAACATTCTTAAATGCTATTTTTTTTTTTTTTTTGTCTGCGCTCAGTCATTGCTGACCCTGCAGTGACTGCTTGGAC